ATTCCAAAGGCTTGGGATAGCACAAATGGAAACGTATGATTTCCCCTATCACTTTGCTAATTGGTATGGATATCAACTAATGTAACGTTAACTACTTTATTATGTTTTTTGCTAGTATTAGTCATGTTACATTATTAGGTATTCGTCCTATTACATCATTACTGTGTTGTCTCAGCTTCTTCATTAAGAAGTATGGTAAACCTCTTTGTCAGATGGCAAATATGAAGACTTCAGAGAAGGAATTGGCAAATGTTTTCTGTAAAGGGTCGGATAAAAATATTTTGGGCTTTGTAGATCTTGCAGTTTGTGTTTGAGCTACTCAACCTTGCCATTATTTGTGAAAGAAGCCGGTGAGAGAATGAACATGACTGTGTTCTGGTTAAACTTTATTTACAAAAGCAGGTCGTGGGCCTGATTTGCCTGTGGCTCTGTGTCCCAGCTCTAAGAGCAAAGTTCACAGATTGCTGCAGGGTCCACGCAGGTAAATGCCTTATCTACAGGTGCAGTAACTTCTAACCTATAGCCACTGTGCTGCACAGGGATATCAGAACTTATATTTCAGGAATAAGATTTGGGGATTTAGATTTTTTTTTTTTTTGGCAAAGTGCTTTTGTCAGTTGCCAACTAACTTAGATTTGTTAAAGTAATTCAGTGAAGGTGATGCTACATGCCTTTGTGAATTCTTTTCTGTCTCATAAGCCGTAGTTTAGCGAATTCTGGTATTTTCAAGTGTGAGTATATATTTTGTATAAAGGAAAAGTTCCTGTAGAATGCCGTCAGACAGGGAGAGCAGCTTCCTAGTACCGCTAACCCTCCTAGTACCCTGAGAAACATCAGTAATTGATTATCGCTTTCCTTCCTAAGCCTGGAGAACATTTTAGAATTCTTCTCTACCAAGGCTCAAAGAGGCCACAACAAATCAGCCATGTCCCCTCATGTGTAAGATATTTATCTTCCTTATTCCAGAAGAGTCTTTTAAAATGTTTTTGGGATTAAATGAAGATAGGACTTTGGACTTCTTATTACATGATGTTATTCTCCAATCTACTAAAAGATACTTTTAGCCAAAAAGGAGAGAATGTGTATTAGAAGAACAAAGTAGAAAAAGGATACAGTTTTGTTAACATGGCAGTATTAGATTTTAGATTATAAGTTTAGAGCAATGAAGAATATCTCAAGTTGGGTGTGTCCTTCGTGGTCATTTAGTAGCGTTTCTTTCTTGCAGAGATCAGAAACTTGGATTTTTTGGTCTGTTCTTTTTCATTATACATCCTTAGTGAAAGCAGTGTAAATGAATAGTCTTAAGGGGGAAGTTCCCCCCCCTTTTTTTTTTTACTGCTTTTGACCATTGTATATGGTTACTGTAGAGTAAGGTATTCAGAATTTAGTGATTTTGTGTATAGGTATGTGCTGGAATGCATATGTTTTAGATCATTGAGGTGCTGTGTGCATGATGTAGCTTAAGTAAAATGTGCTTTATTGTCCATCTTGATTGCATATAACTTTGCATCTTTTTGCCTTCTTTCATTACTTTTACTCTCTGCCAGTCTAAATCTTACTGTCTCTTAAATTTTACCTTCTCCAGGAGCGCTTTCTCTTCCTTAATCCTTGTTAGCATGGAGGGTTGTACTAGGTTAGCATTGTTATGATTTATTACGTTCTTCAGGTTTATTTGAGGTAGTTTTACTTTTTCTTCCAAGTTAACATTTTCTCTCCCTGCTGTTGAGCTTGGTACAGACTGTGAATAGTGTGAACCGAAACATTTTGTTTAAGCAAGCCGTTTCATACAGGTGTTCATTGAGTGCCTTCTCTGTGCCAGTCACTAGGGCTTTAGATGTGGATGAAATAGAAAAGCAGACCTTGACCTGGTAAGACCAGAGTTTAGTAGAGCAGTTTGAAGTCTGGTGAAATTTAAATTTAAAATGTCTCCTTTAATAGTAACCAGTGAGATCATTTACAGTTCCACTAGGAGAAATGCTGCAGTAGGGCACTGCTCTTCATTTCAGTTAGCTAGATCCCAAGCGCCTGGTACAGTGCTTAATATATAGAAAGTACTCAGTAAATATTTCCTAAAAGAATGTTCAAATCGCTTATGTAGGGCTAGTCTTGCAAGACCGCGAGTGCACATGAATCACAGTGTGTACACAGTGTGTACCTTCTCTTGCATTTATGTGCCTTTTCTGCTCTTGAGCCTCCAAATCCTTGCTCATAACCATTTTGTATCTTCTGCACACAGGAATTTTGATATACTTTTCTAACGCTGGAATTCTTTATAAGGCTCAAAGGGTTTATGCATTTGTAATTTTGAATCAGGAATGATAATGACAAATTGACCTTCCTCTACAGAGAGTAGTAGGGTGCCATTTTGCTATATGCTTACTAACTCTGTATTTTTTATAGCTAGTTGTAAAAACACACAAAAACAAATGTCTTTTCTGATTTCATAGGTGAAACGTATCTGTTGTGACTTTAATTTGCATTTCTTTCATGTGAATAAATTGAAACATGTTTATGAGCTTATTTACTTTCTTTTCTTTCTTTTTGGGGGAGGATAATGTTGGGGATCAATGCAGGCCTTGCATGTGCTAGGCAAGCTTTCTGCCACTGAGCTATGTTCCAGTCCCTAGTTTTGTTTCCATTTTGTGTTCTGTCTTTATAACACTTGCCCGTTATTCTCTTGGGCTATTGATCCTAATCTTATTGATGTATAAAAGCTCTTTGTGTATTAAGACAAACATTCCTTCTTGTTTGTATTTTCCTGTGTATAGTAGTCCCTCCTTATCTTTGAGTTCAGTTTTTGCAGTTGCAGTTACCTGTGGTGAACTGCAGTCTGAAACTATTAAGTGGCAAATTCCAGAAATAAATACTTCGTTAAGTTTTAAATTTCGTGACTTATTTGATCCATCTTGCATGTCTCTGTTTTCCTGAGAAACCACTTTGAAGATATCAATACATAATGCAACCACCATTGTTAATTTCCTACCACTTTGTCTGTAACTCTGTATTGCTTGTATTGTTCTTATGCTATTTTGTAAATGGATGTCTGTTTGTTAATATGTTTTCTTTTTATTTTTAAAATAAGTTAAAAAAAAAGTACAAAAAAAAATTAATTTTATGACCCCTCTTGGAATAGTGTGAGGAAATCTCAGGGCATTCTACTCCTTCCCTCCAAGCATGTGAGTCCTCTCTTTGTCCAGCGTATCCATGCTATGTGTGCTGCCTGCTCCTTCCTTACTAGGTAGCCATTAGTTTCAGATCAGCTGTTGTTATATGGCAGTGCTTGTGTTCAAGTAACCCATATTTTACTTAATAGTGCCACAGTGCAAGAGTAGTGACGTTGGTAATTTGGATATGCTGAACAGGTGTAAAGTGCCTCCTTCAAGTGAAAAGATGAACGATAAGATATTGTTTTATTTTTATGATAAGTTATTATCAATCTCTTACTATGACTAATTTAAAAATTAAATTTTATCATAGGTACATAGATGTAGGAAGAACGATATATATAGGATTCAGTAATATTCCTAGTTTCTGGTACCTACTGCGGGTCCTGGAGTGTATCCCCAATGATTATGGTGGAGGGGGCACTCCTGTAATATAGTTAAGTTGTTTAGTTGCCAACATCACTCCCTCACCTAAAAAACAATCTTGTTGGTTTTTATTTTGATGAAGTCAAACTTACGGATAAATTTGGGAATTCATGATGTTCCATCTTCTTTTCCAAGAGCATAGTTATGTTTTTACATCTGTTATAACCTTTTTTTGCGCCCTACAATATCATTGTAAACATTTTTTAATAAATTAGGTGTCTGTTTATATTCTTAAAGTTATTAATTACTGTGATTTAATTTTGCAGCTAGCATTTTAAAATTTGCCTAATGAATGGGATATATTTTCATCATTGACTTGCAGATAAATAATTATATCATCTGCAAATTTTTTTTTAATTTAAACATTTTATAGTCTCTTATTTTGTCTAAGTTGGGCCACTCTGTTAGACATCTCCAGAGGGCACCATTGGGTTGGCTCTTCCTCCCAGAATAAATCATTGTGGCACCACAACCTTTTCTAATTCTTAACTACGGGAAGGTGTCTAATGTTTCCCTATTAAAAAATGATGCTGGCTTTGAGATTGAAATGGGTCTGTATTTTATCATGTCAAGGATATATTAATCTCTTCCTATTTTGTTGAGATTTTTCTCATGAAAGGATGATATATTTTATCAATTATTTTTGTGTCACCAGAGTTATGACTCATAGCCTTTTAATTTTGTTTTGCTTTGCTCTATGAATATGATGAATTTGGATTTTGAGCTACCCTTGTAATCTCAAAACAAGTTTTACTTGGTTGTGGAATGTTGCTCTTTTAATGTGCAGCTGCACTTGGATTCTGTTTTCTTAGATGTAAAAACTTTACATTGATGTTCAGATGTACCATTGATTTGGATATGTATGTGTTTTCTTTTTTTGGTTTTGATGCATATTATTTTCATGGAAGGAATTTGGAAGTTACTATGCTCTTAAAAAATTTAAAGTACATTGAAAATATCCATTCTGTAATTGTGTAGTAGTGAATTCTTTGCAACTCCCTGTGTCTGTGTTTTTCTGTGGCAGAATTCTTTTGAGACCTTATTCTATGCTCTCTGTGGTTTGTTTAGCTCTTCTACTTCATCCTAAATTGCTTTTGGTAACTAATAGCATCCTTAAAAACTATCTATTTTATTAAGAATGTCTAATTTATTTACTTAGAATGGAACAAAATAACTTTTTATCTTCCTTGGTATCAGTGGTTATTATCATTTTAATTATTGTTTTTGATGTGGATATACATGCTGTGATAAAAACATTTAATCTTTTGAAAAAATGACATAAAAGGAGGAAATATTTCTCTTAATATCCATACTTTACTAAAATACCAATTATTTCTAAGAAAACAATTGGTGTACTCAGAGGTTTAGTTTGCACGTTCTTTTCCTGATCACTTTCTTCTCTTTTGACAGACCCTGAAGAGGAAAGTGAGGAGGAGTCTCATCTTGAAGGCAGAGATCCGGATACCTGGCATGTTGGTTTTAAGATCTCGTGGGACATAGAGACTCCTGGTTTGGCAATACCCCTTCACCAAGGAGACTGCTATTTTATGCTTGGTAATCTCAGGAAGATCAAAATTACATTAATGCTCTAGTATCTGTATTTAGATGATTGAGTACATATTTTCAATATGTCTTTTGAAATAAGTATTTTGAGTATGTTGTATTACTAATGGGTCATTTGTATGAGAACAGGTAAGTAGTTGTGTTTTGTTTTTTTAAGATATTGCTGAATTTTAAAAAGTTGCTTTTCTTTTCATTCTAAATGTTTAGTGTGTGTGGAGCTTTCAAATATACTGTTTGCGTGGTTCTTCATCAGAACTACTAAGTCTTCCAGCTCAACTTATCAATGTAACTTTGAAAAACATTCCCATCTGTATGTTTTTTGTAGTGAGAACATTTTTTCTAGGTCCCTCCGACCCCTCGACGTTGGTAGTAGTGGGAATGAATCAGGGCCAGGGTCTTGCTAAAATGTTTGGGGTGGCCTCAACTTCCTTGGCCTCCTGCAGCTACTTTTGCAGTTAGTTTTCTGTCAGAAACATTGACCTGAGGACAGGGTCTTTCTACTTGTCATTTGTTTGTTTGGGAAAGTGTTTCAATTATGATTAGCTTAACTGATGCTATGGAGCTTAAGCTTCTCTGCACTGTAAAGTTTTTGTTTTGTTTGGGGACTGTTTGTTTCCCAGTGCAGTGTCAAGCACTATCCTTTTTTGCCTACAAAGCTCCTTAGGGCTTATTCTCTACTTTGGCCCTAGTGCCTGATTATCCAAGGTTTATCTCATCCTGATCTGTCTGGGGAAATCGACTGATATGTTGGTTTTGGAGCTGAGAAGAACCAGGACTCAGCCCAGTGTTTATGACGAGTACTAATTCCTAGTTCATTAGGTATTTGTGTAGTCCTCTGTATTCTAGGTACAAGGTGAGGTCCTGGGGGAGATATTGAAGGTATGTAAATCTCAGTCCTTTCTTTGAAGGAATTTAGAATTTGCAAAGCTCTTTGACATTTTCTAGTTTTTAGTTCTTTACACATCAGTTTCTAGGTTCTTGTCGTTTCCACTTGCTACCTGTACTATTTTTTTTATTGTTTCTCTCTAAATAAACTTGCTATTTTTTCTTGCACTGATATAAATGTATTTTTTACTTACACATTTATTGTGATGGGGATCAAACCCAAGTGTGTCCCAAGTGTGCTTGAGACAGGATCTAACTAAATTACCCAGGCTGGCCTTGAAGTCAGGCTCCTTCTACCTCAGCCTCCTACTTAGCTGGTGTTTTAGACATGTGCCACTCATGGTTGTGATACATTTTTTTTAAAAGAAGATTTTATGTCACTATTTTAATGGAAAACCAGTATCACTTGGGCATAGCCGAAAGGGTTTTAGAAATACAAACATAGGAACACTAAAACAGTATTAAGTTCCTATTACTTTTCTTTGCTGGTGATCTCTGTCTTTCTTTTTAAAAAGAGAGATTAATAACTATTAGAGAAGTATCTGAGATTTCTTAATGTCTGCAGGAGGATTGGAAGGTGATTATGTGGAGACTTTTTCACACAGTGATTTAATGGTACTCAATGCTGTGTCCCCTTACCTCTTAAGTTCTCACGGGGCGATGGTTCCTACTTTTGTTGAACACTGATCTTAATCTGTTGCTTTAATTTACTGTTGCCTTACAGTGCACAGATGACTTACATACGCAATCTTAGTCTCCAAACAATCTTCTGAGGGAGATGGCAGAGATTATCTTTTTCTTAAGTAATTTGCCCAGGGTCACTCCATTAGTATGAAGCAGAGCCGGCACCAGAATGTACATGCAGGCTCTCTGCGCAATACTTTTTCCACTCTAAATGGAACCGTTTCAACTGGATCCCAACACACTGACATCTCTATCTGCAATGTTGTTCTTAGTGTTGAGATCATTGTCTTCCACATTCTCTTCTTGACCTCAGGAATTGAGTTTCTATCCTGAAGTATCTGTCCCATTGTTGAGTATCATTTGTAGACAGAAATATTATTGTTACATTTTTATGTACCACTCAAGTCAGGATATTTGGTTTGAGTGCATATGGGTGTCAGTTTCAGCCTACAAATGACTTCCCTTTGGATATTTTTCACGCATTTTGTAATTATTATTTTTGCTAGTACAAATTCGCAGTACATAATGATCACATCCATCATGGGGAGCTGGTGCATGTACATACACATCTTGATTCTTTTTAAACTCACCCACTCCCAATCTCTTGGTCTCTTTCCCATTCAGGAGTTTCCATTAGTAATTTGCATCTCTAAAACAGATGAGAACCCAGGTGTGTTGGCACATGCCTGCAATTCCAGCACTCTGGCAGGCTGAGGCAGGAGGGTTTCAAGTTCCAGCACAGCCAAGACATCTTAGTAACATAATGAGATCTTGTCTCAAAATATATATATATATATTAAAAACTGCTGGGGTTTTAATTCAGTGTGAAGGCTGAACCAGTGTAAAGGATCAGCCCCCAACCCTGGGGGTGAAAAAAAAATATATGAAGGCCAGAATGATGCCTTTCAAATAGCTTTATTATTTTTTCTGTGTATAAAAGTAGTTGATATGCATAGTAGAAGTTCATTTATCTTCTATATATTTAATAAAATGTGTTTTCTTCTGATTACAAAAGCAGTATGTTTTCATTATAGACGAAGGAAACTCTAAAAAGCATAACATGAAAGAAAAACATGTAAAGTAGGGTTTATGCATAATTGGTGTATTCCTTTTCAGTCTTTTTTGGCTATGTGTATGTGCACCTTGTAGTAATAAGAATAAGAACCACATTTATTGAGGACTAAGGAGTCAAGCACTCTTTTCATGTGTATGTATGCGCTACTGGGGATTGAACCCAGAGCTTCTCTGCCGAGCTACATCCCCAGTCTTCTTTTGAAACAGGGTCTCACTAAGAGACCAAGTTACCCAGGCTGGTCTTAAACTTCAGGTCTTCCTGCCTTATCGTCCCAGAATGCTGGGATCACAGGCATGCTGCAGAAGTTAAGCATTCTTTTAGTATGCCCAGTAGCAAATGCTGAACAACTACTGTTTTTGCAAAAGGAAAAAATCGAGTTTAGACTGATGCACTTAGCCACGGTCGCACAGCTATAAGGAGCACAAATTGGAACTTGTCATTTTAGCCCACTTAGGCTCTGGTGCCCCGACATCTGTTCCCCCCTAGATGGATGCCTGGATGCCCTCCTCACCCCACTCAGGCACTGACCCTTGATCTGGGCTTTTGTGCCCCCTCCCGCCTCCGCATGACGCCTCTGGCTCACCTAATGGCTTCTCTGGAACCACAGAAAAGATGATGATTTTTTTTCTTCATCTCTTCTTTCTATTTCTCTTTAAAATTATGCTTTCCCCAGAGTTTGAGAACTGGATTAATAATGAAAATATGAAACAATTTCATTATTCTTTTGAAACATACAAAGAACATGTATTTAAAATTTACCTTGGGGGGGCTGAGGATTTAGCTCAGCGGCAAAAAGCACTTGCCTGGCAAGCGCAAGGTCGCGAGTTCGGTTCCCGGTACCGGAGAAAAACCAAAAAAAAAAAAAACCAAAAAAAAAAAAATAAAATTTACCTTGGGTCCCTTATTCTTGGTAGGTGATAAATAGAAGAAATTCGTGTTACTACTTTTTAGGAGCTTATATACAAGATATGAAGATTCTTGCTTTCTTAACTCCTGCCTTCAGATAGAAGTGAAATAGTTGATTCCCTGCCTAACTGAGGTAGGTATAGGATAGTGTGCCCCAAGTGTGCATTTAGAATGTATTTTCTTTTTCTTTTTTATTTTTTTTTTGGTTTTTTTCTCCGGTACCGGGAACCGAACTCACGACCTTGCGCTTGCCAGGCAGGCGCTTTTGCTGCTGAGCTAAATCCCCAGCCCCTTAGAATGTATTTTCTTACCAAGATGTCATATGTAATTTCTAAAATGAACCTTTCTTATCTCCTATTAAAAAACAAAACTAAAAGCAAACATAGTCTAATGCTGCCTTTTCTCTTTACTTTTTAAAAATCCAAATAACAAGGAGCCCCTTGGAAGGATCCCAGCTCTATGCTGATATCTGAAATCTGAACTTCATAGCACTTATGAAAAGGAAACAGTTTAGCTCAATTTATAATAATATATTGGTCTGCAGAGGAAGTGCAGACTGAACCCTGCTGTCTCAAGTAAATACTCCAGGGGTGTCTGATGGGGAACGTGTTGGGTACCTGTAATAAATCCACTGCCCGTGGAAGTGAGTGAAGGCCCTGCTGGCAGTGCCTGAGGACACGCTTAACTGGGGTTGTCACGGTTTTACTTTTAAATTGAAATCTTTGCCCTAATCTCAAGAGTTAGGCATGACCAGATTTGCAAACAGATTTACAATTTTCACTAATTTTCCAACCAGGACTTCAAAACACACTTAAAGAAAAAAAAAACACACTGTGGTCTTTCTCAGGGTAGGATGATTTACTTTGCCACAGCTGTTTTCCATAGACTGCATGTAACCAGGGAGTTAGGGACTTAAGAGTGGCTTGGAGACAAACTGGGTTTGTTTTTGTGGAGCAGATTATACAGTTCAAGAGACATCAGCCAAATTACGTTCATTAACCAGAAGCTGGATGTGGAGTGGAATGTATCAGGACAAAGGTGAGTGGTAGGTAAATATTTGGGGCAACCCCCTACCAGTTCCCCTTAATTTATTATTACTATTTTTCTCTGCGTGACTGTTGATGGTTGCTTTGTGGTCTCTTTTATTTCATTAAATCTAACTAAATCTCACTTGCAGTTATCTGTAGTTACTATCACAGTTGGCTATTTCAAAGTTTTATTTGCCAAGCACAAATTCTATTGTAAAAACAGAAGAAAAAAAAAAAGGAATATAAATTGAAATGCAGGGCATTTCTCATTTTGATTTTGCTTAATCTCATGAGTGATTTGAAGTAATAAGAAGCCTGTAAGACTTTCTTTGAGGTGAACAGGTTCCTGACTCCCTGCATTGTATACTGGCTCTGCGTTGTGAGTGCCTCTGTGAGTCTTTGCCTCTGCTGTG